TTCTTCAAACTGTGCGCGTAACGCATCTGGGGCGCCGGCGGCGACGCTAGAGCGTACGATTTCAAATGGCGTTTCACGAATGTCGGCAGAGGAAGTTGCTCTATGGTGTACACGGTTGTACGGGCCACTATGGCGCGGCAACACAGCTCTTGGAGGCTTAAAACTAAACAAACATTGTTGCTACATGTTTTGGCTATCATTAGGTGAAAACTGCTTGATGATATCCTTATTAACAAGGGAGATATATAAAGAAACAGTAAACGATGTTCAACAAAATTACAAAAATACAAGTGTGACTTTGAAGGGTTATAACTAAAAAACCAGAGGACACAGAAAAAAATTTTATACTAAAAAATTGTTTAAAATTTAGTAGGCTTTAACATAATCCAACCCGCGTTTTGACATCATAACACAAACGGAAGTTATAAGGAAAAATACACACTGTTAACATAAAAAACAAGTCTAACTTTAAAGGCTTCTAACTTTAAAACCAAAGTAGCTAGAAAAAAGTTACAAACTAAAAAATTACTCCAAATTTAATTCACTATAACATGACTTAAACCGTTTTTTTATAGCTCAACTCGTAACTAATAAAAACTAAAAAATTGAGAAACAGTAGGTAAATGATGTTCAACAAAATTACAGAAATACAAGTGTGACTTTGAAGGCTTATAACTAAAAAACTAGAGGACATAGAAAAAAAATTTAAACCAAAAAAGTGTTTAAAATTTAGTGGGCTTTAACATAATCCATCCCGCGTTTTAACATCATAACACAAACGGGAGTTATAAGGAAAAATACACACTGTTAACATAAAAAACAAGTTTAGCTTTAAAAGCTTCTAACTTTAAAACTAAAGTAGCTAGAAAAAAGTTACAAACTAAAAAATTACTCCAAATTAAATTCCCTACAACATGACTTACGCCGTTTTTTTATAGCTCAACTCATAAGTAATAAACACTAAAAAATACACCTACCTTTATTTGACCGCCATAGTCTTTCTAAACCGTTTCTCTGCAGCGCCATTCGTGACAACTCGCAAAAACTCTCGTGTATGTTGAAATTACACAAAGGTGAAACTTCAAAGAAAGCCATATTATGTTTGTTAGCATAAGTTTCCGCATCTCGTTGCCCAACTTTACGATCAAACTCCAAATGTTTTCTATTGCCAACTAAAACTTTAGGGACTCCAGGCGTATGCTCATCCACTTCTTTCAACCAACGATCTAAGCCATCGAAACTCCATCTGTTTGTTATGTCGTACACCAAAAACACACCCTGTGCACCACGCGAGTATGATCTTATTATGGTGCAGAATCTGCCTTGCCCTGATGCCTCCCACAACTGTAATTTCACCCTTTTACCATCCAATAGGATAGTGGTTGTTTTGTGAGCCCCATGCCCACAGAAAGGGTTGTATTCCCCTTCGTCGAAGTTTGAGAGGATCTCATGTTTGCCTACATCACTATCACCCACTAGAATGAACTTTAGGAAGTAATCATACTCTTTTTGTATTGTTTTAGGTGCCTCAAGGTATGCCATATCAAAATTGATTTACCCAATGTAAACATAATAGTTACAGCTGTAAAATTACACTTTCCCTGTAGTTTATCCTGTTGTATAACTTTTTTGTGGGTTATTTATCCTTATTTTGCTTAAAAGCACCATGTTCCACTTAACAAAAAAAAAATTTCATATTAAAAACTAACTACAACTTTTAAGTTACATTTTATTGAAAATGGTTACAAACTACACGTTTAGTAGGCTTTAACATAAAAAACACTCCAAAATAATCGACTTACTACATAAAAAAGATAAAATTAAAGTACTACTTACATTCCTTTTAAAATTATATAAACATCTGTTCAAACTTAAATTGTGACGTAATTTTAACCTAAAGCACCATGTTTCATGCACTGACACCTCAAAAAATTGAACTTTAATGAATATTTTGTCGTTTTCCAACGTATTTTAAGGTTTTTTTCGTTTAATTTCCATAAAAACAATCTTTGGAAATTTATCTGTCAATAATGTCAATAAATCTTCTTCTTCGGGGGGGTTTTACAACACCACCAACATTTTAACGAGAAATATACCAACTGTCAAGCTTAAGTTTGGTTTACACTATATTTTATGACAGAAAAATATTTGAAAACGCTTGTTTTGTAAGAAAAAAATATTAAATAGTTAAATTTATATCTTAACTATGTAATATTATACGTAATTATAGTTAAATAATTATGTTTTTTTATTTCTTTTTCGTATTTATTTCAAAGTTAGTGCAAAGGCGCCTTAATTATTTTAGTTTTCTCGGGTTGGTACTGCATAACTGTCATTTAACTTGTCAAAATCAGTTCCTTCTTGAACTCGTTTGAGTGCGTTTGTGTCTTTTGCATTTCCAACGTACAAAATCGCGTAAAATGGCAACTTTGAGGCAAATGCCGTTAACGTGCAGTGGACACACAAGACCCGTGGTGCATTTGGACTTCAGCGAAGTAACGCAAAGCGGTTATTTCCTAATTTCAGCATGTAAAGGTGCGTATTCTCTCTTGGTTTACAGTTTTTAACCTTACCTTCGCAAGAAACCCACCTTGGCCTAATTACGGCCTCAAAGAAACCCTACCTGTAGTTTGGCCTTAAAACGAAGCGTATTCAGTTTTTTCTTTGTTTTATACTTCCTATGTATAGTTTATTGCAATATTACGCGTTATTTTTGTATTATAATTGTTTACTAATATTACCTATGTTTTAAGTTTTGACAAATATTTGCATACTTTTTTTGCAATATATAAACAATATTAGTAATTTTTCTTATCTTTAATTGTGTTATTATGGTTTTAATGCAATATTTTTGATAATATTATCATAATTGTACATTTTATGCAGATTATATTAACAAAAAATATGTGACGTTAAAATTGACAAAAATCTAAGGATAACTTACAAAAAAGTTGTAAATTAATAAAATGTTTGAAAATAAATTATCTTTAACTTGGTTTAAACCAACATTTATTAACATAATCCACAAATGAGTTATAATACAAAATATTCAAACTCTTATAACTCACTTATCATAACTCCTAGAGAAAACTTACTGAATACAAAATTACAGTAAAATTAATGTTCTACAACATACCTACATTTTACATTTTTTCTCTATCCTATTTCATTTAGACGGGAAACCGATGTTAAGACAGGGCGACACCGGTGATTGGATAGGCACTTTCGAAGGTCATAAGGGGGCTGTTTGGGGTGTGGCTCTCAATTCGGAGGCGACCAGGGCTGCTTCAGGGGCCGCGGATTTCTCTTGCAAAGTTTGGGACGCCGTCAGCGGCGAGGAGTTGCACAATTTCCAACACAATCACATAGTGAAGAGCGTCAGGTTTAGCAGCAAGAACAGCAATTTGCTGGTTACCGGTAGCAACGAGAAGTTAGTTAGGATATTCGATCTGAATAACCCGGAAGCGAGTAAGTATTAAAAAAAAATTATTCTATAATAATAATAACTAAAGAAAAATTTTCTGAAAGAGTTTACTAAGGGCTTGTTAGGCTTTCACTTGGTTGTTAAATCAATAAGATCTGATAATTTTTAACAATGTTATTGGGTTTTTTTAAAACGATCCATACATCTCACCGCTCTGGCCGCAAGTCCACGGTATATAAGAGCGATCACGAATCTTCCTTTCTGCGCAGGTCCGGAAGTGTTTACGGGACACACGGCCGGCATCAAGCACGCGCTGTTTTTCCGCGACGACACGCAGCTGATCAGCTGCGCGGACGACAAGACCCTGCGCGTGTGGGACAGGGCGGCCAAGAAGGAGGTCAACCGCCTGGATTTCCCCTCGAGCTTGAGCAGCCTGGAGGTGTCCAAAGACGGGTCTGTCTTGACCTTGACGTACGCCAACAAGGTCGCCTTCTACGATGCCGATAACTTGACGAAGATCAGGGAGTTCACGCTGCCCACCACCGTAAACTCGGCATCATTGCACCCGGATAAGAGCATTTTTGTGGCGGGAGGGGATGATTTGAAGGTGTACAAATACGATTACACGACTGGAAATGAGATTGGTGAGTAGCACACACGTGCAAAATAATCGATCCACACAAACTTTCGATGAATTTCAATCGCAAATAACTTTTTTATTTGATGTCGGATTTAAACGAATATTAAAGAATATTGTAGATAAATTAATGGACAATCGCTCACATTTTAAAAATTACCAAAAAATACACGTACGTTTATAATATACATGTTTAAACAAAAAGATGTTTTTTACCATAAGTTTAAGACACTCTGTAGAGTGGCAAAACCGTAAGTTGTTCTAAATTAAGTTTTATTTATCAAGTCACATCTATTCTTAACAGTTTTGTTTTCGGTTCACCTCGATATATTTATTTTTGTGGAAAATATGGATTTTTTAAAAAAACATTGCAATTTCCAATATTTTTCTGTATGAAGAACTAAGGTTGCTATGGTCCATCCATAGACTATAAAGAATGACAGTGACAGTTTTGTTGAATCATCCCATACTTGGACATGTCATACACGGCTTTCAAAAGCTATCAAATTGTTTTTTGTAAATTAATGTGTTAATTTTGAGGTGTCTTCTTACTTTTAAAAATGTCTCCGACTGATGTTGCCCTTTGCACTTTACTTCTTGTGACGTTTAAAACACTTGCCACGTAATACTGTGACCGTCCATCCTGGATTAAATTAATGGCTCTGGCAACATCAGTCGGAGACATATCCATTTTTTAAAGTAAGAAGACACCTCAAAATTTAAACATTAATTTGCAAAAAACAATTTGATAGCTTTTCAAAGCTGTATATGACATGTCCAAGTTTGGGATGATTCAACAAAACTGTCACTGTCATCCTCCATAGGCTATGGATGGACCATAGCAACCTTAGTTCTTCATACAGAAAAATATTGGAAATTGCAATGTTTTTTAAAAAAATCCATATTTTCCACAAAAATAAATATATCGAGGTGAACCAAAAACAAAACTGTTAAGAATAGATGTGACTTGATAAATAAAACTTAATTTAGAACAATATACGGTTTTGCCACTCTACAGAGTGTCTTAAACTTATGGTAAAAAACATCATTTTGTTTAAACCTGTATATTATAAACGTACGTCTATTTTTTAGTATTTTTTTAAAATGTGAGCGATTGTCCATTAATGTATCTACAATATTCTTTAATATTCGTTTAAATCCGACATCAAATAAAAAAGTTATTTGCGATTGAAATTCATCGAAAATTTGTGTGTATTAAATAAATTCAAGGACTTCATTGTTTCGTTTTAGAATCTTTCAAGGGTCACTTTGGGCCGATCCACTGCCTGAAATTCTCGCCAGATGGCGAGCTGTACGCCTCAGGCTCGGAGGACGGAACTTTGAGGTTATGGCAAACGACGGTTGGCAAAACGTATGGGCTTTGGAAGTGCGTGGACGGCAACCAGCTTAACAATGACGTCATGTCCCCACCCAAAGAAGTACAGGCCAACTAACTTTTTAATGATGAAATTTCTCGCGTATATTTTTTATTTATTATTACATGCATTTTTCCCTAATTATTTCGAATGTGATGCTCCAATATGCTATAAATTATAAAGAAAACAAAAACAAATGACTGAAGTGTGATTATATGAAAAGTAGTGTTTTCGCAATGAAGCGAAAATAGACTTTTCGAATATATTATTTATATACTTATTACATTTCTTAGTAAATAAAGTTTTTAAAAAAATGTACGTTTTATTAAAGAAAAACGCGCTATAAAAGTGATGTAATGTTGTTGGCTGTAAAAAGGCGCGTGGATTAAGCTATAAACACCACAAAAGAAAAATTGAAAAATTGTGAAATTTTTTGAAAAATTGACTTGCATGTTTTTATTTTATTCAAAGGGTAATACAAAAAAATGCCAAAGTAAATTTTTCTAAAGTTACAAATTTTTACGGATACTATCCGTACACTGATTTCGATAAAAAAGACAATTTTTCAAAAGCCTGAAAAAAAAACAGGTCTGAAACTTTGGAAGGATCTTCAGAAAAGTAAAAAAGTAAGACAATTTTTTTAATTTCTTTTTAAAAAAGTGAAGAATTAATTTAAAAATCTAAATCCTTGGGAATATCTTCAAAGGGTAAAAAAGTAAGAAAAAATCTTGTTTAAAACAAAAAAAAGTTTTTTTTCTTACTTTTTTGGTTTTTTTTTCTGATTTAAAAAAAAATTCAGGGTTAAAAATTAATTTAAAAATCTGAAACTTTGGAACAATCTTCAGAAGAGTAAAAAAGTAAGAAAAACCTCGTTTGAAAAAAAATATGATTTTTGTAACTTTAGTAATTTTTCCAATTTTTACAAAAGTGGTCATTATCAGGTTAAAAATTAATTTAAAAATCTAAAACTTTGAAAATACCTTCAGAAGAGTCAAAAAGTAAAAAAAACTTTTTTTCCAATTATTCCGTTTTTTTTCGGCACTTTAAAACCTTTCACAATACCAAATGATTTGTGTTGCTAATGTGCACATTTTAAAAATATTTTGATATCATTTTATATTATGAGTTAAAAAAAAAAACATTGACTCAAAAAGGAAATATTAGGTACTACTCACCACCATACAAACTTTATTGACAAAATTAGTTTATCTATGTGTATAAATATATATTTACTTAAGCAGATAATACGTTAGTATAACCTTTCACATAAGGTAAAAAAGTCTCGATTTGTGATTTTTAGTTATTTTTAAGTAAAACATTAAAAAATGCGTTTGAAATTAGTGCTACTTCCTATTTTTTTAAACACTTTAATCCATGTGATATACAGCCAAGATTGTACTGACCTGGGCGTTAAAAAATCCTGTAACAAAAATGAAAACTGTTTAGATTGTATGAAAGAACATGAATGTTGTAACTGGTGTTTATATGGACAATTTAATACGGTAAGTTTAATTTAAAAAATAACATTTTTATTATTTACATATATGATAAATATTATTCATGCTTAAGTCATTATAAAACAATTTAAAGATTTATCTTACTACTTACTTATCAGTTAATACCTACTTAAAAAAGCAGCGTTGATATTTCTAACGATTTTAATTTTGAAATTTTGTCCTACCACTGAAATTTGTTTGATTCTGAACTAATGTGCGATTTTGTCCTACCTTTTCCCGATCTCGAAACCTGCATAACAGGTTTTGGTGATAAATAGAGATTTCTAACCTAAAAGTGAAAAAAACGCGTTTTGTTAGGTCACAAAATACCTATACATTCTCCTCTTTAAAATGGGTATTTTTAATCAATTTTTTCTTTAGGGCTTTAGTTGCGATACTTTGACTGATTCATGTAATGGAACTATTACACTAAATAGCCCCACACAAATTACAGATCATAGTAATGAAACATTTTCCCAGGAATATGAAGGCGATGAAACCAATCAAATAGTGCCAAAAAAATTTAATTTGACACTTCGAATAAGTAAGATTAAAAAAATCTACCAATTAAAAAAAAAATTAAAATGTCCATGTTTTGTATACTCTAAGGTAGAGTGTTGTTACGTAACGTATCTTAAAGCATAGAATACATGGATATAATCTTGAACCATTCAGGGTGTCACGCCAAAATAAAAAAGTTGTTCATGTATCATTTTTGCATTAGGGTCATTTTTTTAATAAAAAAATCATTAAAATTTTATTAGTAAAGGAGAAAATTGTTCATGAAAACTTTCTTGTTTATAAGGTGACACCTAAGATAAGTTACAGTACCAGACATTTTAAATGATTTACGTTTTTTTGTAGATAAACCTTTAAACATAAGTTTTTACTACAAACCTGTTCAAAAATATCCCCTGAATTTATATTATTTGGTCGATATTAGCTATACCATGAAAGACCATATAGAGGACCTTAAAAAGTTGGGAGACGATCTTAAAGAGTTAAACTTCACCAATGACTACCAAGTGGGTTTGGGATCATTTATGGACAAACCTTTGATGCCTTTCTACAGAACAGGGCTGAATTACGAAAACAACCCCTGTTATCGCAGTGAAGCCGGGTCTTGCGCCAAAGGTTACCTCTTCAAACATGTTTTGAACTTCACCGACAAAATGCAAGATTTTACCACAGAGGTAAGTATTATGTCCTTTAAGCCTGAGTACCTACTAATGCATGACCATGATAGATACGCAATAAATTTCTTCTAGGTTCACAAACTGTATACTTCAGCCAATTTGGACGATGTAGATGGCGCCTCTTCAGCGTTGATGCAGATTCTCAACTGCCAGGATGAGTTTAAATGGAGAGGGGCTTCAAGAAAACAAATTTTGATTGCTACGAGTAGCTTGATGCACTGGGCTGGAGATGGTCTGTTGAGCGGGTCTGTCAAGAGTCATCCGATGAAATGTTTGAGTGAAGAAAATTTAACCTCCAGCATTTACGATTACCCCTCTTTGGGGGATATTATATCCGAGCTTAAAGATCATAAGGTATACCTTTGGTAGTTGTGATTGCAAACACAACCTATACTAACACTGCTAATTCTTTCCAAAGACCAACTTGATCATAGCCACGAAACCGGATACAAGGGCCTACTACAACAAATTTAGGGAAGTTCTGGGCCAAAACTGCTTTGTAGGGGAACTGAAAACGAACGATACGAAAAATATAATGAAGCTATTGGAGGATGGTTACAAGCAATTCATCAAATCGGCCGAATTTTTCGCAAACCACACCCGCCAAGAATTTTTGAGCGTCGAATTTTACAACAACTGTTCGGGGGTTTTCAACAAATCGGCCACTTGTGATGACGTCGATGGAAGCACTCCTATAGAAGTCATTGCGGAGTTCAAGTTGATAGGTGAACCACCACAGGGCCTTGAAGAGGTAATTTTATGAAGGGCTCACCAATTGCCCAGCAAACACAACCGTACACAGCTAAAAGCCATTGTTAAGCCATGAAACTAAGTCCCAGACAGCACATATATCCATTGGACGTCCAGCGGACGACCATTGTACATCCAATGTAAGTCCATTTGACGTCCAATGGACATCTTGTGCTGTATTACGTAATGGGCCATTACATAATCAGACTTATGTGTTTGCTGGGTAGGATGTCCGAGATTTAGTTTAAACCGTTACTAGCACTATAACATACTTTAGGACGAAATACTGATTGAGGAAAGAAGTATAGAAGAACAAATTAACATTCATGTGGAGTATAAAGGATTTAACTGTATTTGTAACGATGTTCCCGAAACTATGACAAAACGAAGCGTTGTGACTTGCGTTCATGGAAAAAAGGATTGCGATGGGTGCCAGTGCGACCCAGGATGGTAAAGTATACTTTCTAGCTACGAGGGTTAATAAAAAACTGTGTAGATGTGGATGTTGGTGCACCGTATAATCACTATGTTTTCAGGACTGGGTTAGATTGTAGTAAAACGTGTCTAGACTCTTTTGAAACCTGTCGAGCTAATAATAGCCTAACCTGCAGTCATAAGTAAGTAAAAAAAATTGAAGCTACCAAAGCTTGTTAAATGATATTTTTTAGTGGGGATTGTATATGTGGAAGATGTAAATGTCAAAATAAATATTCTGGAGAGTTTTGCCAATATAGATGTCCGATTGCCAACGATAGAGTTTGCAATGGTAAGATAAGAACTTACTTTATGTTTTTTCTAGAGTTTAAGCAAAGTACCTAACTTAATTTTAAGGTAACTGTCGTGTCCAATGTTGCAAATTATGTGTTAGGTCATGCAGATGTTTAAGGTTACTTATCCGATTTTGCAGATGGCCCTTTCCTTCCTTGGTTGTCCTCTTTTGTTTGTCTCGTGAAAAGCGATTTTTTCAATGAATTTGTTCCATACTTTGAATGAAGTTGCTACTTGATTAAAATTAGTTGCTTTTCAGGTCAACTATGTATGGATGGCAATTGCAAATGCAACAAAGACTTTACTGGCGAATTGTGCGACTGTCCAAAATCCAAAATAAACTGCCAACTCCTCGGTAAAGCTTGTTTGGACAATGGAGCTTGCGTTTGTAACCAGTGTGAATGTAACGAAGGATTCACAGGGAAATTTTGTAACATCGATAAAACCACAAACACCGATGTAATTTGCGATAATTTGGAAAGCTGCGTTTTGGAAAAATACAACGAAGAAAACTCGGAAAAGCCATGCACAGCAACAGTAATAGTAAAAAGTGTGAACACCACCGATGATATGGATTGTTCCACAATCTACGAGAAAAAGGGCAAAATTTGCACAATAAATTTCGAGTTTTCGATGAAGGAAAATATTGTTTACCACACAGAACCGAACTGCAACGTAAAAAGCCAGGCGCGCGCCTATATTTATGGAGGTATAGGCGTTCTTATACCGATTTTGGCGGTCATTCTTGGCTTAGTAATATGGAAAAGTTATGTAACAAGAAAGGACCGCATTGAATATGAGGCCTTCATGAAAGAGCAATCTTTCAGCGAGCACCATAATAACCCTTTATACAAAAATCCTGTTACGAAGTATGAAAATCCTCTATTGGGCCAAAAAAACAAATAATTTTTATCAAAATCGCTTGATAATGAAAAAGTTGGTCGCCAAAATATCAAAATCGAAGTTGTGTTGTTTACTCTTAATTTTTATGGTTTGACTGTTTTTATGCCAATATAATGTTTTATATGTACAAAATACAATGTTTTATTATAATTTGTTGTTTTATTATAATTATTATAATATACGAGGTGTGTTCAGAAAATAATGGGAATTGTTAAATTTCGCGGGTTCGGAGGGTACGGTTGTCATATAGTTTTTTTTATTATGTTGGTATACATACCCCCGAAGTATGATAAAAACTTTAGCTGTTTTCATTGTTTACTTTGTCTGTGGCAGCCGTTAAGGTTAGACGTGTTTTATGAGCTCGGCGATTTTTCGTTCGTTAAAAGAAATGGATCAAAGAATTTCTATCCAACTTTGCTTAAAAAATTAAATAAATTCTGTGAAATGTTAACAAAGGCCTATAGTGAGTCTGCTATAAGTAAAACAAGAGTTTACAAGTGGTATAAGAGTTTCCAAGATGGCCGTGAAGACGTTGAAGATGACGAACGCCCCAAACGCACAAGCACATTAACAACCCATAAAAACATGGAAAAGTGGAAGAAATGGTTATAAACCATCAGAGAAGTCGCTGATGATGTTGGCTCATCCCATGAAATTTTTTCGAATGTTTTGGGTATGAAACGCGTGGCAGCAAAATTTGTTCTAAAATTGATTTTGAACAAAATTTTTGGCCAAAAACAATACTGTAATGATGCCTCTATATTAGGGTTGCCATACGTCCCGGTACACCGGGACATGTCCCCAGTATCAAGAGCTTTGTCCCGGTGTCCCGGTTCGGGCTTCAAATGTCCCGGTCTACCTCATACTTCATAATATATCAAAATTCTAGAACTTTTTTTTGCAATTACTCATTGTTGTGAAGCGAGTAGTGGAAGATAAACGAGAGCGCACAGAACATAAGACGCTTTGTTAAACAGAGCTATTAGATTGTTGGTTATTTTTTACTTTACGACAAAATTAAAAGAGACCCTTAATTTACTGATACCATAAAATTATTTGACGGTGAAATTAAGGATTATTATAAAACAGCATTGGAATATTTACGACAGTGGAGTGCTCCTCTCGTCAAAGTCAATGTTTTTTCATGGATGACCAGAATGGGAAGAAGTTGAAAAAACTATATCCTATTTACAAGAAAAAGGTATAACCATCAATGATTGTTGTTTTGAAGAAGTATTGTACTTGAAAGATTTCATTACTAAATTAGAACATGATCCGGTCTGGAATGCTAAATCTATGCATGATAAATGGTTGTTCTTTTTTCAGCAAACTGGTATTAAAGAGCAAAAGGCAAATTTACTTTTGATGTGCCAATATAAATAGATTAGATTAGATTAGATATGTTCCTGGCCATAATGCAGGTGTTGACAGAATTTTCTCTTTGTTAGTTTCACAGTGGACCAAAGAGCGAAATAGGCTTTCTTTAAAAACTGTTGAAAGTATAATGTTTTGCAAAGTAAATTTTAACATCACCTGTTCAGAATTTTATAAGTGGGTATGTGAAAAATCAACCGGAACTACTAAGGCAAGTAAGCAAATCTGAAAAAAAAGATTGGCATGCGAAAGAAAAATGATTAGTGAGATTTTTTTTAAACCAAAGAGTTTGGTAATTTTTTAAGTTTCTTATTATTTAACAAAAAAAATTAATTAGTTGAGTATTTTTTTCACATTTTATGTCAAAACAAAACTAAACTTTTTCGAACCCACCATTATTATATATTTTCACTAATCCTAACTTATTTGTCGATTGTTATGGTCATTTTTACAAAAATGTCCCGGTGACCGATGATCCGCTTATGGCAACCCTACTCTATATTCGCCAGACATGCCTCTGTCTGACTTTTTCCTATTTCCAAAAATAAAGAGAACCTTTAAGGGCCGTCGTTTTGCAAGCATAGATGACATTAAAAGCGCATCGCTGAAAGAACTAAAGGCTATCCCAAAGATCGAGTTTTAGAAGTGTTTCGAGTATTGAAAGAAGAGCTGGCACATGTGCATAATATCCAATGAGGACTATTTTGAAGGCGACAACATTAATGTAGACGAATAAATAAATATTTGTTTCAAAAAACGAAAATTCCCGATATTTTCTGAACACACCTCGTATATATATTATTAAGAGTGAGATCCTCCTTATTGCAATTTTCCATTTGAACATTAGTCTGATGAAAAACATTTTGTATCTCACTAACAAATGAATATAAAGCTAAGTCCAATAAACATATCCTATGATTTTTTTGTAAACCAAGACATTCAAAAGATATCTTGGTATAAAATTTTATAAATTTTGAAAAAATTAAATATTTTTTTTTAAAAAGTTATCACTCCCAGAACAGTTCTGCATAAATTATTTTTGCTAATTAAAACAATAATTTATTGGGGCATATTATAATTTAGGTGGTTTATAAATAAATATTTTTCACCAAAATAAAATATACTTACAACATTCAGAAATTTTTTTTAATAAATATAACTAAATAGACCTTAAATATTTCTTTTAGAAAACGTCGAAATTTTAATTTTCTTAGTGATCTTTTCGATATTTTTATCATGCCAGATTTTACCACACTTCACTCGCACAAGTGAAATCAATAAGATTATAACACAGACTGTGGATTATAAAGTTATGTTCACCAAGGAGAGCGCTGGCCCTTTCCCCCTCTTTTTAAGGGAAATAACAAAAATTTTGTTACCATTGCAAAACAATAGTAAATATTAAAAAAGTCTTTTTAAATTAATTAATTAATTTGAATTACAACGATAGTAATTTAAAAAAGAAAACCCATTTAAATTTTGGGCAAAATGACCTCCTAGAAATAAAAAAAATGTGGGATGACTGTTTTCCACATCAATTGTTAATATTTTTGTATCTCTGTGTAGACTCTTATTTTGTTAAGCATCAAACTCGTCATATAACCGCTAGATGTCTTGAGCAGTGCGGTTTCCTCATTTTTCTAGCATCGACATCTCTAGGAGGATTTCCTGCAATCTTGCGGCATTCCCACCTAAGTTTAGATGTTCAGCTGTTTTGCTTCAGTGTCTTAAGAACGCGCATACGGACCTCACCTCGCCGCACGCGTATATTGTGCTACGGTATCTCGAGGAATAAATAAATGAGTGAAAATTGTTTTTGGTGTCACTACTGGGAACAAAGTTGTGTGTCCTGTAAGGAGATAATATAGTTTTGGTGGGTATTTTTTGTATATTTATATTAAAAAAAAAACGCCAAAATTGGCGCCCAACTACATAAATTTACGTTAAAACTATATATTATAGTATTATTATTATTCTTAGAGTAAAACAGTTAGTAAAAAATGAATATTAAAAGTCTCCCATGCCTTAAAGTCGTTGTACCATAATATCTACCAGTATTAATGCGTTTTTCCTTCTAAAAACAGCGCAATTTAAATCTCATCAACTCATTTCACTTTTATTTTCAGACACCCGAAAATAATCTCAACAAAATGTAGATTTCTTCATAAATATACTCGAAAATGCCTCAAACGTTGCTTCACCATCACTACAACGGTCATAATGGTCATGCTATGACCAACGGTCATCACAATGGCTACCCGAACGGTCATGTAAACCACAACGGTCATACGAACCATAATGGTCATGGTCATTACATCCAGAACGGTCATGCCAAAACAAATGGTCATATTGGCGGTAAGTCATAAAATAATCTGACATACTTTGAATAAAAGTGTTAATTTTGTTCTGTATATTATGTGGGAAATGCCATACGTATATCTACAGTCACGCAAATGTCAAAAACCATTAACGCTATTAAAAACGATGTAAAATAAAAAGTAACTAGCTGTAATGAAAGCTTGAGTATATTTTGAGATATATCTCGGGAAGAACTTTAAATTTTAGAGTGGGAATTAAAATATATATCTCGTAAACGTTGTGTCCAAAGATATTTACGTACAATTTAAGATATTTATAAATCAATATTTGAAAGATATTTCACACTAAAATCTTTATTTTTAATTATCTTAGAGTAAACCTTAATAGATTTACTTAAAAATTGGGATGTTTATAAATATATATCTCAAAAATATTGCGTTAAAATATAAATATAAAGTTACACTAAAATCTTTTTTTAAATATCTCGAAAAAATACATATATCTACTTCAAAGTCAAGATATTTATAAAGCCATATCTTAAGAATGTTGATTCTTAATTATAACATCATATCTCTTCTTATTTTTGAGTTATAAATGAATTTTGAAAAACTTAAAATCTTTATTTTTAATTATCTCAGAAAACCCTTAATAGATTTACTTAAAAATTGGTATGTTTATAAACTCATATCTCAAAAATATTGCGTTCAAACTTTAATGAAATATCCTTTATAATTTTAAAAGATATTGTTGTTTTTGTCACGTTGGGTTTTACTTTTAATATATCATTTTGGTTATCGTCTCGTCGAGTATGTTTTGAGATATATCTCGGGGACAAGATATTATATCTCGAAAATATTGTGTCCAAATATATATATATATATATTAGTGTAACAATTGTCTTTTTTTTAATATCTTAAAAATTTTATTTCTAAATTTTAACATCATATCTCTTGTAATTTTTGAGATATAATTGAATTTTGTAAAACGACACATCAAAATCTATATTTTTAATTATCTCGGAAAACCCTTAAGATATTTACTTAATTATTGGGATAAATCCAAATCTCAAAAATATTATAGTTTTTGACATTTTTTTTACTCCAGTCTTTATTTTAAATAAAACCATAATTGTCGCGTCAATTATGTTTTGAGATATATCTTGAGATATATCTCGAAATTATTGTGACTTATTAAGCCATATCTTAAAAATGTTCTAAATTTTAACATTTTATATGTTGTAATTTTAGTGATATGATTGAATTTTTGATACTGCCAAATCTTTTTTTATAAATATCTCCCTTAAGGTATTTAGTTTAAATTGAAGATATTTATAAAATTATATCTTAAAAATATTTGACACAATTTCGTGTAACGAAATAATTATTGTTTAAACTTGAAATACAATTAACCATATTATAATTATTGTTTTTTTATCATTTTTTACATCTTAATAATTGTGTCAATTAAAATTTTTAACCATGAAATTCTCACTATTATGTTTTAAAAACGTCATGACCTTGATTACAAATTTAGTAGGTTTAGAGTTAAACCGTTGAGGAAAACGATAAAATATTATAACGGAACACTTAAAGAAAAGATCGAAAATAAGTAAATAAAATAAAATAAAATATATTTATGTAAAGAGGCGCACTTAAAAGTTAAAACTGCAATATAACTGTAAAGATTACGGGCCCTTGTCGCATGGAATTATTAATAATAAAACGTTAGACGCATACTTAGGAAATGCTTTGGAATTAGAAAAAAGTAGATTAAAGTGCAGAATAGCGTATCTACTTCCTTTGGGGATTTTTTGTCATAAATCTTTGCAGTTGCTTATATTACAGAAAATATATAAATATGTACATAACAATATTTTTTATGACAAGGCATGTTTCCATGACACTAAGTGACCTTTTAAATACACATTGATAAGTTGTGGCTTTATGGCGCTTTAGTCACGGGCTGAAGTTAGCAACAGGTTTTTAGTCACGGGCTGCAGTTAGTTTTAAGTTAGTTGACAGTTGTCAAATGTCATACAATCGTTAAAATAAAGTGCCTTTCTTGTAAAATAATACTAAATGTGGAAATTATTTTATTACCTCAATACAAAAATACAAAAGTATTAAATAGTTTTTCAACGCCAATATTTGAAAAGTTTATATGAACATTGTACTGACCTTTTAATTTCGCCGGCAGTAAACTATAACTTAAATTCGGGCACGGACTCCACTGTAAAGGGCTCATAAAACATTTTCTTTACTTTCACTGTGAAAAACTGTCAATTTTCAAGAAAAACATTTCGATTTATAACCTTTATAGTTGTGTTTATAAAATATAAAAATTTGACATTTGACGGTGACACACAGATTCCCCTATTGTTTCATAGATGGCGCTCTATACAATATTTTGATTTAAATCATTTTAAGATAATAATAAGTATTTGTCGTAGAAAAAGTATAGTATGCACTTTGTTTATAAACTTTTCTATACACTCATTAATTTAAGCACTCGCTCGCAACTTGATACATAATATACTATTATAATGGGCTCGAATATAAAAGAAAAAACCAATGGCATCGAATGTACATTTTTTGTACTTAATAGGTCTACAGTAATAACTCATTTTCTACATACTTTCAAACTTATTATTGTGACCCTTGCAGTTTATTAACACAAATATGCAAATCATTGCTATAAATTGCATATGAAATTGGGTATGAAAATACGAAAAATAAAAGGTATACCTACGCGCTCATAAATTGATTAAAAATACGTTTTTTTTTTCAACAGATTACAATTAATATCGTTACGGTTTATTAATTTTGTTACATTATTAAACACTTTATTAAGCGTAAAGAATATTGTGGAACAATTGATCGAAATACAGAGTGTTTTACATTCGTGGTCCATTATAAATTTCTGGGGAACTGAAAAAGTTTATTTTTATAAAATATTTTGAACAAAAAATCACTTCCGGTTCAACCGGAAGTGACATCAACTTTGCTATTTTAAATAAAACACCCCATAGATTTTTACATTTTTAAATTCTACATAAAATTACTATACCATCTCCTATACCTAAAGTATATAGTTTTCGAGTAATTAATTTTTAACACCTTGTATAATCTATCTATCTTCTTTATTTAATGGTTTCCCCACTATAAACTTATAAGAAATTTTTTTTTACAATAAAATATTTTTATTACAGCGGTTTTTGCCCTATAAAATTAATCAAAAACATGTTAGTATTGTGAGAAAAGTCATAAAAAATCAGAACAACAATATAAAAAATGCAGAAGTGAAACTAACGAGTTTGATGGCAATCAAAAACCGCGTAAACTTAAAATTTTTATTTGTTTTCTAAATTAGGTAGGTACCTGTTTTGGTTGACAATTTAATTAAATACATAGACTAATTTTTGTAATAGATCTATTTAAATGCGTTTAAAAAATGTTTATATTTATTTATTTGGTTCGTTGAACTTGAGTTTAATAAAACTAGTTTTCTGTATAAACCAATTGTTTGACAAAGATAAAATTATGTAAATAAGTATGCAAAATATTTGAAGAATTTTGTTGGGTAACCATTTTAACTGTAAATCACTGGCAATCACTGGTTTTGGTTTAAATTTGGTTAATGTAACGCATTATAGTTAATAATTATTAAAACTAGTTAAATTAAACTAACTTAGCCCGATCTTACGTTCTGATTTTAGTTGCAGCCCTGCTTTATTTCTATAAAACGCATCTGTTCTGTGGTAAAACCTATACGAGGTGTGTTCAGAAAATATCGGGAATTTTGGTTTTTTTAAACAAATATATATTTATTCGTCTACATTAATGTAGTCGCCTTCAAAATAGTCCCCATTGGATATTATGCACATGTGCCAGCTCTTCTTCCAATACTCGAAACACTTCTAAAACTCTATCTTTGGGATAGCCTTTAGTTCTTTCAGCGATGCGCTTTTAATGCCATCTATGCTTGCAAAACGACGGCCCTTTAAGGTTCTCTTTATTTTTGGGAATAGGAAAAAGTCAGACAGGGGCATGTCTGGCGAATATGGAGGCTGGGGCATCATTACAGTATTGTTTTTGGCCAAAAATTTTGTTCAAAATTTAACAATTTTAGAACAAATTTTGCTGCCACGCGTTTTATACCCAAAACATTCGAAAAAATTTCATGGGATGAGCCAATCGATATACCAACATCATCAGCGACTTCTCTGATGGTTTATAACCATTTCTTTCACTTTTTCCATGTTTTTATCGGTTGTTAATGTGCTTGTGCGTTCGGGGCGTTCGTCATCTTCAACGTCTTTACGGCCATCTTGGAAACTCTTATACCACTTGTAAACTCTTGTTTTACTTATAGCAGACACACTATAGGCCTTTGTTAACATTTCACAGAATTTATTTCATTTTTTAAGCAAAATTGGATACAAATTCTTTGATCCATTTCTTTTAACGAACGAAAAATCGCCGAGCTCATAAAACACGTCTAACCTTAGCGGCTGCCACAGAAAAAGTAAACAATGAAAACAGCTAAACTTTTTATCATACTTCGGGGGCATGTATACCAACATAATAAAGAAAATTTTATGACAACCGGACCCTCCGAACCCGCGAAATTTAACAATTCCGTTATTTTCTGAACACACCTCGTATATATAATAGTGCGAACAGAGATAATTAATAACGTAAAGAAAAAAACAAATGTTCAGAAAAGATAAGACTACAGCATGATAACAAAGTAATTATTTAACATCACGTAAACTAGCTCTGCTTTGTTTTAATTTTGTATCGTTAAAATAAAATAATTTTGTTTATTTTTCGAATTATCTGGAAACCAACCTGTAAAGTAAAACTAAACAAACAAGTAGGCGTCAAGACAAAAGAAAGTATTAGGTAGCCAAGGCGATCATTTTTCAGCGGTAATTATGCCCTTATACAAATTCCGTTAAAGAATTTATACAAAGGTGTCCACAATAGAGCTGCAAACATATGTTTTACTTAGCATTGTCTTAAGGTACATTAAAT